ATCTGCAACCAGGAGAGGATAAAATAGATGAATGGGATCTTCCAAGAATAAAATCCCTATGCACATCCAAAAATTTCTCCAACAGGGTAAAAAGGGAAGCCACAGACTGGGAAAAATATTTGGTAATGACATGTCAGATAAGGGACTTACATCTATAATTTATAAAATACTTGAGGACTACAACAGGATAAAGGTAAACAACCCGGTTGTAAAATGGGCACAGGATATGAACAGACACTTCACCAAAGAAGACATTCAGATGGCGAACAAACACATGAAGAAATGTTCAAAATCCCAAGCTCTGAGAGATGCAAATCAAAACAACTGGAGATATCATCTTACCCCAATAAGAATAGCAAAATTTAAAAAAAATAGCAAAATTCAACAGAGCAACAAACAGCAAATACTGATGACATTGTGGAGAAACTGGAACCCTTATTTACTGTTGGTGCATGTGTAAAATGGTGGAAGGTAGTATGGTGCTTTCTCCAAAAGTTTCAAATAGAAATACCATTTGACCAGCATTTCCACTACTGGGAATATACCCTAAAGAAACCAGAACTGCCACCCAAGCAGACATATGCACACTCATGTTTATTGTGGCTTTGTTCACAATAGCTAAGAATTAGAAACAACCTAAGTGCCCATCAACAAATGAATGGATAGACAACTGTGGTTTATTCACACAATGGAATACTATGCTGCATTGAAAAACAAGAAACTCATGAAATATTACACAAAATGGGTGACCCTGGAGGATAGTATGCTGTGTGAAATAGCTCAGTCACAAAAAGGACAAATACTGCACAGTGTCACTGTTGTAAAATTGGACTGATATTGGGGTTGGGGGAACCTAAGAGGGAATAAATAATGTATACTGCATTGAAACAGATGAGGGAGAGGACTATTTAAAAGGATTATAGGTATTATTTTCATGACATGATTACAGAAAAAGAAATGCATGTTAAACTGGACTGTTGACTGGGGAGGGGAGATTGTATAATAATGATTTTTTTTTTTTCTTTTCAAAGAGAAAAATGAACTGGGGGGCCAGGTGGGCAGGGACCAAAATGTTCAACAATGAATTAATGAGAAAAAGATTAAATAGTAAGAAAAAATACACACACACACATTACTAAAAATCATTAAGAAAAACCACGTTACTCATGAAATATTATAAAAAATAAGTGACCCAGGAGGACATTATGCTGAATGAAATATCTCAGTCACAAGAGGTCAAATACTGCATAATGTAAAATGGACTAACATTGGGGTTGAGGGGAACCTAAGAAAAGAGAGGATAAATAATGTATACTGTATTGATACAGATGAGGGAGAGAACTATTTAAAAGGAATATATGATTAGGTATTATTTTCATGATAAGAGTCCAGAATTAGAGCTGCGTTGTAAAGTGGACTGGTGGAGGGGGATTGTATAACAATATTTTTATTTTTCTTTTCAAAGAGAAAATCGAACTGGGGGTAGGAGTAGGTAGGGAGGAAATTGTGCAACAATGTTTGAATGGAAACCCAAAGTCTCTGCTCTGTAAAATTTCATTAAAATGTCATTTTTTTTTTTAAAAAAAAAGAATGAATAAAAAAAAACACTCAACTCTTAAAATCTGCTACCTGAAGTCAGCTGTAGCTGCAAAGGATTCCATTTCTGTAATAGAGAAGACACAGAGGAAATCTCTGCGTCAGAAGTAATTGTCTCTAATTGCAGTATAGTCCTCCTGCCCAGCAGTATCTAAGACATTAATCTGGACCTCTTCCCCATCCAGCGCTACTTTCTTCTTATAGCTGTCTTCTTTGGTAGGCTCACAGTCCTCCACAAAGTCATCATACATGAACGGCAGGGTCGGAGCCGACTGACTTCTTCTCCACACTACCACTGCCCGTCATGATAACTTTGTGCAAGGCCAGAGAATTCTGACCCTTGGGCTTATTTGCCACGGTCTTCGGTTAAAGAGTTTTCACCAAAGGATGAAGAAATCTGAACTGCGAGCTTGTCCTCTGTTCCGAGGTCTCCAGAAGCCACAGCTGCACTGCCCCCGACTAGAGCGCTCAGCCCTCCTCCTCAGCAAGGTCCTGCACCAGTAAGCAGAAATGGAAGAGTATGCTGGGCGTGAGCGGAGCCTGGGCGGGAGGAAGAGGAGGAGGAGGAGGAGTCACTTCTGCAGGTTGGTAACAAATCAGATTTAGAGGATAAAAGGCAGGTTTCTGTGAAATGTAAACTATGTGGAAACGTCTGCTAAGACGAGAGCTAATGTTGACAAGGTATTTTTTGACTTACTGAGGGAAATTAAGAGTCATGAAGATGGAAAGAAAAGAATGGGGGGAAAAAGTTTAGCCAAAAGAATCAGAGAAAGATGCTGCATTTTATAATTAGAACCCAAACTCCTTTCTTATCTTGACCTTACTAATAAATAAAATGTATAAACTTTGAAAAAAAAAACCCACTCAAAAAACCCAACTGCCTTTCCAGAAATGGATGCATAGTGTGCTGACGTAGGGTGGGACGGGTGGCTCTGTCAGCCAATCCGGGCCTTGTCCTCATCCTAGTGGCCTCGCTCCGCCTCGCCTTCCCAGGGGCCTTTATTTTGTAGGAGTGGCTGCTTGTGGGGGAGGTTGATGTAAGTACCCGTGGTCTGCTATGGTTCTGGGATCCAAGCTCCTGCCAGTCGCTTCTCTGAGCCCGTTGGGTTTGCGTGTTATAGGTGAGTCAGGGTGCTTGGGATCTGGGTGCCCGGTGCCGCCTCTCCTCTCAGCCCACTGGGTCTGCAGGATGCTGGTGGGTCTGGGTGCTCAGACACTGGATAGGACAAGGGCCAGATCTGTTGTGCTCATAGTCACTATGAGTCCTACTGGACTTGTTGGCACCTAACAACCACTTTTTTTTTTTTTAGTGTTCATTGTTTCTAGTGGTTTTTCTTGGTCAAAAATTTTCGTGTTTTGTTTGTTACTGTATTTCTTTTTTTAATTGTAATTTTAATGAAAGTTTATAAAGAACTTGGGTTTCCAATCCTTCATTGTTGCAACAGCCACATTTATTAATAGCTGTATATCTCTCTAAGCTAACAGCTTTTGTAGCCTAGTTGTATATCTCTCTAGGCTAACAGATTTTGTGGCCTAGCTGCTCTGCAATCAGAAGGACATGAGGTTTAAATCCACCAGCTGCTCCAGGAAAGAGGGATTTGAACTGTGATTTACAGCCTCTGAAAACCTGCTGAAGGGTCAGCCATGGGTGTGTTCCAACTGCTGGGCACACAACAGCAATCCCTCTAAACAAAGCTTCGGCTATTTTTCACAATAATATTTTTTTTCAGTTTTGGTTTTACTTTACAACTCCTTTTTAAGCATTCATTTTATTTTATGATTCCTTTTTGAGCCTGCATTATTAGTGTTAATAATTTTTATATATTGGAATGTGTTATTGAATTAAAATGTAATTACATTATAGTCAAAGAAAATATGCTATACTACCCTAGGATTTTATATTTAATATGCATTTGATCTGTCTTATTGAATGTGTTATGTGTGGTTGAATGTGTTTAGTAATTAGAAAATTTCACTAAGATTAAGACAGTTAATTGTGCTATTTAAGTTTTCCATATCATAATTGATTTTTTTTTCCTTTTCAGATCTACATGTTCTGAGAGAAGGGTTTTAAAATTTTGAGATAATACTCCTTAAAACATCATCAAAAGGTCTATCATTTTAATTTAATATTTTATATTTATTTTCTATACCTTGGCTGAAACCTTGGGAATTTTGCTAATGTTGTCCATGAAGTAGTGGTTAGTTAGTTCAAGACAATAGATGTGATTTTAGGGAGCCAGTATTTGTTCCAAATATCCTTTGAGCCCAAGGTTAAAATTGTGTGACTTCACTTCCCAAAGAGCCCACTTTCCAACATGGCACTGAAAGGAGGCCACTAGGAATTTCATTGCACCTTTTGGAAAAGAGTGTTTTTATCTCTTCAACTTTGTTTATCTAGAAGCATCATGGGGATTTACTTATAGGGCACTGGTATATGTGTCCAGCTTTAATTTTCAGTATCAAAGGGCAAGAGTTATAGTGAAAATGCTTCCTGAGACGGAGGACACTTTTCTAGATGGTGTGGACATTTGAAGAACAACCAACCAACAGTGTTATAAAGTATATATGATGATGGTGACAGTTTAGATAGGATGTTGGTGGTTTGATCTGTGGCTACAAACTTACATTGTTTCAAAATAAAGAATACATCTTTGGACCCCTGGGTTGTGTAAATATTTTAAGTCCTTTGCTGTTGAATTACAGGTGGGTAGTTGAATGTAAGCCAAAAATCGTATATCCCTGGTGAGGCCACTTGCTATACAGAGGTAACTTGTGGTTGCTGTGAGGCTGAACACTGTGACACTGGTGTGTCAAACTCATTAATGGTTCGTTACCCAATGTAGACAGTGTGGGGTGGAGCTCCCCGATTAAAACAAGCTTGGAAGGAGGAGTGGCATCCACTTCCGTAATAGCTTGCCTCCGGAAACCCTATGAACCTGGAGAGAGGATGAAAGACACCCAAGCATTGAGGTCACTATGAGTCGCCTGTGACTCCATGGCACTTAACAACAACAAAAAGAACAAGAAGAAGTTGAAGTACCCAGAAATGTCTTGAGAGAAAGATTCAGTGATTAACACTGAGTAAACAGCCAGCTGTGGACAGCACTGTGGAGCACAACTCCACTCTGAGAGACATGGCATCCATAGGAGTTGGAACCGTCTCAGTACTGACTCTTTTTCTTTTTATAAATCCATTGGGAAGTTTCAGAGATCATGGTTGAGTCCAAGGCTTCTTAGCATGGCATGTGTTTGTTTCTAAAATCATGCTGTTCTCTGCATCACTGGAATTCCTTTCTTCCCCAGTGTACCTGCAAGAGGCTTTGTGACGACTTGGTTTTCCTCAGAGAACTGTTCCATCCAGAAGGACTTTGCTGACTTAAAAGAGCTAGAAAAGCCCAAAAATGCCATTGGAGCTGGAACAGGCACTGGTCCATGTGCTACCACTGGGAAAGGCAAAGGACGCTCTATTCACTGGAGCAGCTGATGTCCCTTCAGGGAAACTGTCCAGCCCTGAAGCTGCCCGGCAGCTTTTCAGACACTTTCAGTACCAGGTGGTGTCTGGGCCTCACGAGACCTTAATGCAACTTCGGAAGCTCTGTTTCCAGTGGCTGCAGCCAGAGGTTCACAGCAAAGAGCAGATCCTGGAGCTCCTCATGTTGGAGCAGTTCCTGACCATCCTGCCTGGGGAGATCCAGATGTGGGTGCGCACACAGCGTCCCAGCAGTGGAGAGGAGGCTGTGACGCTAGTGGAGAGCTTGAAGGGTGACCCACAGAGACTGTGGCAGTGGGTAAGCAGAGGGTGTTGGGATCTAGGGTCCTGTTGGAGTGTCCTCTTGCCTCATCTATGGCTCTGTGTGCCTGTCAGGTCCATAATTGATATAAATGGTTTGTACTTGACTACTAACCAATCTGTGGTTCCATTCTAACTTAATGCTCCAGCGTTTCCATTTGGTTAAATTTTTAATTGGGACAGACTGTCCAGTTGAAACCCCATGTTAGAGGCCTGTCTTGAAGGTCTTGGAGGTCTGGGACAGTGCCAACAGTTGGCCTCTCTTGTGATATTTCCATAAATGGCTGGAAATACTGGCTGGCTGAGAAAATGAAGGTGACTATCTTTTCCTTGTTACCTGTTCCTAAGGACTGTCTTACAATCTGTTGTAAAAGATTCAGTTCATTGATTTCAGGAATCCCAACTCAGCATCCCACAGTAATTTGTAATAAATTGTCTTTAGATCAGCAGCCAGGTACTGGGACAGGAAAGCTCACCAGAGAAGGTGGAATCTGCAAGTTGCCAAGTAAGGGAGGAAGAGTCCAGTCTTGAAGTGGTGCCTCAGGAGCTGGGACTTGAGAATTCAACCTCAGGGCCTGGAGAGCAACTGAGCCACATCATCAAAGAGGAAGCTGACACTGAGCCTGAATTCGGTGAGAGCCAGTTATTATTCATGGTGGTGTTGGGGGCCTCTTGGAGAAAATTAGGCTCTTGGCTATCTGAGTTAAAAGTGTGTTCAGATAGCAGTGTCCATGTTTGGGAACAAGGTTGATGTGCACAAGTCACTCTGTTTAGGAGATTCCATGTTTGCATTTTCAACCACTTTATAGCTGCATTAGAGCATTTGGATTTTGGACTTGAACAAGGAAAGGAGAGAATAGGTGGGTGAGGGTCTTTCAGATTTGGACTTTGTTGGTGATGCAAGTACAAATCTTGAAATTGTGAATGGAAGTATCAGTTCTAACTTGCCAATGCTTTTCTGTTTGTTTGAGGTGAGTTTTTGTTTTGTTTTGTTTTGTTTTAAAATTAATATCCTATGGGGAATGACTGAGGAGGGCATTTAGATTCATAAAACTTCCTGTTTCTCACTTCAGTAATAACTGCTCCCCAGCTTCTTGCCCAATCTGAGGAAAGGCTCTTCAGCAACCAGGACTCAAGAGGCTCCCTTCTCCAAGCATCATCTCAGGTTAGCCTGGTTTCTCCTCTTTTCTTGCCTCTCAAACCAGTTTTAAGCATTCACCAGTAATTGTTGTTATGTGCCCTGAGTCACCTGTGACTCACACCGACCATCCTAAGCCATTCTCACTGAGTCCAACACGCCTAATCCCATTCTCCCAGTTACCTTGTCAATCTATCTAATCTGGAGTCTTCCTCTCCTGCTCTGTCCCTTCACCCTTCTAAGCATGATGTCCTCCAAGGCCTGGTTCCTTTGGCACACATGCCAAAGTGTATGAGCTGGAGCTTCAAAATCCTTGCCTCCAAAGAGAAACTTGGTTTTTCCCTCTTTTAGACAGACCTATCTGTTCTCCTGGCAGCCCATGAACATGTTACTCTTCTCCAGCACTAGAACTCAAAGATACCAATTCTTCTTCTGCCATCCTTTGTCATTGTCCAGCTCTGTGATGCATAGTACGTGATTGCAAAGACCATGACCTGGATCAGGCACACCTTAGTCTTTAAACTGACATCAGTACTCTTTAGCACTTTGGAGAGGTCCCTGACAACAGGTTTCTTCATTGCAGTTTGTCTTTTCATTTCCTGACTGCTGGTTAAAAGGACTAAAATGAGTGCCTTCTCCGATGTGCAATGGAGGAGAGGGCCTCGCTATGATAACAGGAACCATACACAGGAAGAGAAACTTGAATTTCAATATTTGTCTCAGATAAAATGTTATTCTAATTGCCATTTAGAATTAGGGAATCCAGATCCTGAACAAGGATGGAAAAGATTTGTGATAAAACACATCTTATCTCAGGAGCTCTGGTAGCCTAGTGACAAGAAGTTGCACTGCAATCCCAGAGGTGTGTGGTTCAAATCCACCAGATGCTCTGCTGGAAGAGGAGGAGCAATCTCCTCCCGTACCAGTCAGATTCAATTTGACAGTACACACACACACACACTAGTAAAATGAAATTAAAAAACAACAACCCATGTCTTATCTTGAATTCACAATACTCATTTGAGAGATAAAAGGAAAAGGAAGCAAGTTAGAGATGGAAACTTCACTAACACCAAGAACAAAGAGCCAGGAGTGGAGACCATACCTTAGATCTGGATCCTGTGCTGAGAACCTCATAGACCTAGGGTAAAGAGTGGCCCAGACACAGGCACATCACCCAGGAATGCCTGGCCCACATATTGAAGAGACAAGGAATTTTCCCCAGAGCTGATGGGGAAACTTTCTTGTGGCACTTGTGTCCTGAATTCGGACGTCTGGCTTTTTTCTTAATGTCATCCATTGGTCTGTACTGTAACTATGATAGTGGCATCCACTTCCTAAACAGCATTCCTCCATAAATTCAATGAACTTTGATAGATGTTGACAGTTGTAGAGGGGCTTCAGGCCTTTTGTACATAGGGTCGCTAAGAGTCATGCTGGACTCCAAGCCAAACAACAACAATGATAAGCATAATCATCGTCTCTACCTTGTCCTCTTAGGCATTTATATGCCTTCTTTCCTTTCTCTGCCCTTCTCCTTCCCATTCTGGCAGCTACTGGTCTGATTTCTGTCGTCATAGATTTGTTTCCATTTTCTAGGATTTTATATAAAATGGAATCAGACCATATTTTCTCTTTTTTCTGCATGTAATGTTTTCCTTCTGTCTTTAACTTATTTTCTCACTTTCTCTCTGATTTTAAAAGATTGATTGCAGTGTACCTTGGAGCAGCATTTTGTGATTGGGATTCATTCAGCTTGGTTGTGAGATTTTAGTTCTCAGGAGATTTGGAGAAATTTTTGGCCTTTATTTGTTAACTCCCTATATTTCCCCCACTCCTTCCTGATTCATAGAATTGCTATGAGATGAGCTCTACAGATAACAACAACTTGATGACTACTTTGAATTAAACATACAGTATTTCATAAAGCAGATGATGTATCATGAAGGATCTTTAAACTTGATTTTTATTTTTCCCTGTAGTTGATGAGAATTTAGGTGAGGACCAAGACTCAGAAAATCTTAACAACTTGCCGAAGGTCATAGAACCAGAAGGTAGTAGGACTTCCTCTTTTGAGTCTTTAGTTCTGCACAGCTCCAAACTCAAAGTCATTGTTCTTGAATCTGAACTGACTCATAGTTAACTCTCTGCAAGTTTTTGGAAAATGTAAATTGCATGAGAGGAGACTCCATGTTTGTCTTAGGGAACTGATTGTGGATTTCAACCACCGAAGAGGCACCACCTCTGGCTTGGCAGCACAGTTCTGTATAGAGTAGGCCACCAGAATTTCTTCTACTTCCATTTATTGTTGTTATGAACTGTCTAGTTGGAACCAACTCATAGTTGACCCTTCAATGGGGTTTTAACATCAGTAAATCAAATGGGAAGGGCTTGCTCATCTATTAGATTTTAACTGCTTGCCTTTGGTTTGACAGTACAATTCATTACCACTAAGCCATTAGGAAACTTTCCTTTAGATGACATGTGAGGCTACCTTATTCATGACAACTCATCCATTGAATGAGTGTTATACCCTAAACTCAGAATTCTTAAGAGATTACAGAGGTGTATTGCCCTTTTTCTGAATATACCAGTCTTTTCTCTGGATGGGGATTAAACACAGTCAACTTCAGTGTTGATGATTCTCTCTGTTTTGCAAATTTGCACTGCCAACAATTTCTTTTTTTATTTCTTTATACTTTGGACTTTCTAGATTTAACTTCAATATTGGGAATGTCAGTCTTTTAAAACTAAGTGATTTAAAGAGTAAAAAAAAAATGATGTGAGGAGATTGAAAAACATACCTCTGGTATGTTTTACATTCAGCAGAAAGAGTTTTTATCCTTAAAGTCATACAATTTAAAAACATACATACAGAAGTCAAAAGCTCAATGTTTTCTACTCAGGACAAGAAATAATGCAGCAGGGATTGTAGTTTTACTCTCAGCCTCTTCCTCTGTTCATCTCTCTTCCAGGGTTTCTCAAATCTTCTGATACTTAGCCTCTTTTGGCGCATTCATTCCTTCTCACTTTTCCTCTTGGAAAAGTGTCAAGTATCTTCCTTTGGAACCATGTTTAAGGTCATAACTGTATTTTTTCCAGGAACAATGGAGATACCTGGATTCTATTCAGAAGGAGCACTTTTGGAACCTCATGCTGGAGAACTATGGGAAAATGATCTCAGGAGGTGAGGGCATAGATTACCCAGTGGTAGGAGATGGAAGGGCCAAGAGTTCTTAGGCGATGTTTATACTCTTTTATAGACACATGTTCACCTTGAAGTACTCAGGATGGGAAATCATTAGGAACACAATTGGGAGCTAAGGTCAGGGGAAGCTAGCAGAAGTATATAACAAGAACATCTTTGCATTCAATTCTTGGAGCTCTAGTGTGTGCACTGTATCTCCTCATTAGGACTATGAAGTGTATATGTCCCATATTGAATATGATGAAAGTGTAAAGACAAGTTACTAGCTTTGTGTCCCCTAAGTGCTGAGTCAGATTGGAACTCAGAGTTTCTGGCTTGCAGTCCATATTCTTTTCATCTGGACCACACTGCCTCTCGAAAATAAGCATGGGCTTCAGTCATGACCCTAGCCAAGCCTCACAGGTGGTCTGCAGACTCTTCTGCTTACCATCTCAGACTCTGTTTTTCCTCCTTTTCAGCATATTTCCTGGTATCTTGTGAGTACTAGTCTGCTAGGCCCATGTCCTTCAGATGAGTGTCCTATCCAGGGCCTACATGGTTCCTTTCATGTTAGGAGAATCCTTTGAAAGACACAGCATGCTCTCCCTGGTTACAGTGTCACAAGCTGATCTCTTTTTGTACCAGGTACTTCCAGTCCAAAACCTGACTCAGCTAATTCAGCAGAGTATGGAGAAGAGCTGGCAGAACTCCCCCTTGATGCCACTGAGAAAATTCTACCATCCACCTACAGTGGTGAGTCAGCTTCTATTGGTCCTGAGACATTTCTGACTTTCCCTTGTTAAGGCTGATGTGGTGGTTGACATGGTTACCCTTTGGTTTCTATTCCTTTGTAATAACTAGCCGTGGATGGGTCAGCTCAGTTCTAATATTGATGGTGGATCTCTTCATCACTGTTTCTAGAGCGGTTGACACATGTTTTAACAGTACATTCATGTGCATCTTTTCTCTTCAGTCTTTTCTATAAAAAGTAAACTTCCATTAAAAGTTATATAATAGCTGGCATTTTCCTTACTGGCAAGATTGCTCAAAGTAGTCTTCTATTCAGGTTTGTCCTGGAAAGAGTGAAGTCATGTTGCTCTTTGGAGGATATGCCATGTTCTTGCTATTGTAAATAATGTTGTTATGTACATTTGCATATTTAAAAAAATCTCCATTTCTGTCTCAGTTCTTTTTTTCCTTGAGGTACATGCCTAGAAGTAGAATAGCTGGGTCATATGGAATCTCTGCATTCAGTTTTTTGAGAAAATGTCAACCTGCCTTCCAGAGTGGTTCTACCATTTTACAATCCCACCACAGTCTATGAGAATTCCAACCTCTCCTTATCATCTCCAACATTTATTGCTTACTGTCATTTAAACTTTGCTACTGCAGTTGGGGGTGAGATGATCTCTCATTGTGGTTAAGCTTTGCATCTCTTATTGTTAGTGATTTTGAATATTTCTTTAAGTGTCTGTTTGCCATCCAAGTGTCATCCTCTATGGAATGTCTTTTTGTACCTTTTGCCCATTTTGTAATTGGTTTATCAGTCTCTTTCTTGTGGAAGCCCTGTTGTATTCTGTAAATTTTTGTGATGAGATTCTTGTCTGAGATGTCATTGCCAAATGTTTTTTCCCAATCAGTAGGTTTTCTTTTCACCCTTTTGGAATAAATTTTTTTTAACTTCTTAAAAAAAGTATTATTAATTTTAATGAAAATTTACAGAGACTTTGGATTTCCATTTATTAATTGTTGCACTTTTCTCCCTGCCTACCCCCTCCCCCTCCAGTTCGCTCTTCTCTTTGAAAAGTAAAAGAAAAATCCTTTCATTATTATACAATTCATCTTCCCAAGTCCATTCCACTGTGCAGCCTTCATTCTGGACTGCTGTTATGACATAATATCTAATCACATATCCCTTTTAAACAGTCTCTCCCTCATGTTTCAATGCAGTATATATTATCTGATCTTTCTCAGTTGGAATAAATTTTTGATGTACACAAGGACTACATCTTTAGAAGGTTATCATCAATGTTATCCTTTTGTGGTTGTCCAGATTTTTATTTTCTTGATGTTGTGATCCAATCCATATTAAAGTTGTAAATTGTGATGTTGTGATCCAATCCATATTAAATCCATATGTATCTTCTACAACCAGTCTGCTCCTTGGAGGCAAGGATTCTGAAGTATCATCTGACATACTTTGGGCATGGTGCAAGGAGGGATGGATTGATTCAGTGACTGGGGTAATTGGAGTAGGTATGTCAGAGATAAAAAAGGTTGGCACAGGATAGAGCAGCGTGTAGGGCTGTTGTACGTATGGTCCCTATGAGTTGCAAATGATTCAATAGCCGTAACAACATAACAACAACATTTTCTACAAGTGCTTGAAGTATTCTTCATTTTCTGCAAATAGGGCTTTGCAATCTACATAATGCATGGTGTTGACTGGTTATTCTCCAATTGTGATATGACCCTCTAATATCACTTTATTTCTAATAAGCAATACCAACAAGAAATTCTTCATATAAATCAAACATTTTAATGCTGGATAAGAAACTTGAACTTGTTCTTTTGTAAAGTATCACACCTTTTGCCTTCTGCACACTTTGTACAACATTACAGTTCTGAACCATACAGCTGTCCAACCTGTTTATTGGCTACTAACAAGCAGGTACTTCTTCGGGTCTCTCCAGAGGTGGAGCTTGTTGTTAGGGCCTTTGAGTCAAGTACAACTCATAACCATCCTATAAATAACAGATCTGTGCCCTGTCCTTTCCTGTTCATCCTTATTATCCCTGATACACCTGCTGTAGTCACTGTGTCATTATATCTCATTAAGGGTCTTCCTTTCTTTCATTGACCTTTTCATTGATCTTTTAAAGCATGATGTCCCTCTCTAACATATAGCCTTTCCTAGCAACATGCCCAAAATATATGATTATCCAGAGATACTTGAGGGTAAAACTTGGTGGTCTACCTCAGAAAAATCAGCAGTTTAAGATCCTAAAGAATACAGTGCTATCCTGATGCTCCTAGAGTGTCTCTGAATCAGAATCAACTCTGTTGCTACTGGAACTGGTAGTCATATAGCATAAACAACATATGCGTGCAATATTCCTTTTGTTATATACCATAAACCCTAATACCATGACAAAAAGAACAATGGCTAGAAATTGTATGACAAACTGTACTTTTTGTCCATTGATAACTTGACAGCAATTAGGAGGGGTTTTTTGAGAGCTTTAAAGGAGTATTTTTCTAACTTCCGTTTGAGTATATTTCAGCTTCCCATTGAGGCTAAGGAATAGATTTAGTGGAGGCAGATTTATCTTATAAGACAATAAATGCATAAGAAGATACCAGAATAACTCAAAAGCAGTGGTTGTTTTTATTAGTTGCTGTCAAATTGAGTAAGATTCATCACAACCCTAGAAACAACAGATCTGAGCCCTGTCATATCTTGTGCCATCCTCCCACATCCTGACTTACTAGGGCCCATTGTGGCAGTTACTATGTCAACCCATCTGGTTGAGTATCTTTTCTTTCACTCACCCTCTTCCTTGACAAGCATCATGTCCTTTCCCAAGGAATAGCCTGTCCTAGCAACATGCCTCAAGTACATGAGAATGAAACTTTATCATCTTTGCTTCCAAGAAGCACTCTGGCTGCACTTTCTCTGAAACATATTTGTTTGTTCTTTTGGCAGTTCATGGGGTTGTCAGTAATTTTCTCCAACATCACAGCTCAAAGGCATGAATTTTTCTTCTGTCATCTTTATTCATTGTCCACCTCTCAGATGCATAGCAAAAGGAAATGCCACAAAAAGCAGTAAGGGTAGATATTATGGATATTTTAGGAAATTTCAGTTTCATATATATGTGTGTATAAATATTTGAATGTTAATGTATTTTGTTATTTTTGTAAAAAAATATATAACTTTTCCCAGTTTAAAGTTTTCATTTGTACATTTTGCAGCATCATTATATGAATGCTGTTGCACAATTGTCACCAAAATCTGTTGCCATGTTTCCCATCACCATCAAGAGAAACTTGTTGTTGTTGTTATGTGCTGTCGAGTCATTTGCGACTCATAGCGACCCTATGTACAACAGCCCTAAACCCTGCTCTATCCTGTGCCAATCGCATTGTGTGCTTGCAAAAATGACTACTCTGCCTTCTCCTTATCTTTGGAAACCACTCATAAAGTTTGGTCTCTATGTAATTCTCTGTCCCTACTGGCATAGTGATAAGAAACTTTCCCATAGTTCCAAAGGTACAGGGTTTGAATCCATATATGCTTCATGGGAGAAAGATGAGCATTCTCCTGCCATGTAATTTACTGCGTTTGAAAACCCACTGGAGGGTCAACTGCAGGTTGTTTCTGTTGGTACACAACAACAATAATAGTTCATTAATTCAAGTGCTTTTAAGTGTCCAGTGCAACTCCTTACCACTGAATAGTCCATGTTGTTGTTGTTATGTGCCATTGAATCACCTGTGACTCATAGCAACCCTATGCACAACAGCCCTAAACCCTGCTCTATCCTGTGCCAAACCCTGCTCTATCCTGTGCCAATCTCACTGTCTCTGTTACACCTATCTCCATTACCCCAGTCACTGAATCAATCCATCTCATCGAGGGTCTTCCTCTCCTGTGCTGTCCCTCACCTTCCCAAGCACAATGTCCCTCTCCAAAGACTAGTCCCTTCTTGCCACATGTCCAAAGTATGTCAGCAACCTGGTTTCACCCTCTCCAGGATGTACCTGTTTGTTCTCTTAGAAGTCCATGGTATATTCAATACTCTTCTTCAGCACCACAGCTCAAAGGCATCAATTCTCCTTCTGTCATCCCTAGTCATTATCCACCTTTCTGGTGCATAGCAAATGGCCTGTATCAGGTGCACCTTAGTCTCCAGACTGACATCATTGCTCTTCAGTACTTTGGAGAGTTCTCTGATGGCAGACTTTCCCAAAGCAATTCGTCTCTTGATTTCCTGGCTGCTGGTGCCAAGAATGATGATTGTGGAAGCAAGCAAACTAAAGTTGTTTATAGTCTCAATTTGTTCACCATCCATCATGATGCTGCCAGTTGGCCCAGTGGTGAGAACCTTTGTTTGCTTGATATTGAGCTTCAATCCATATTGAAAGCTGCAGACTACCAAAAACCAAACAGCTATGTCTTAGAAAAAGTGCAACTAGAATGCTCCTTAAAAGCTAGGGTGACGTAGCTTTCTCTTTGTGGTTTGGACATGTTGCTAGAAGAGGCCATTCTTTGGAAAGAAATATCATGTTGGAAAGGTAGGTGGATAGTCAGCAAAAGAGAGGAAGAATCCTAACAATGTGGTTTTACATCATGGCTGCTGTAATGTTCTCAAGTGTATCAGAGATGAGGATGACACATGATAGGTCAGGATTCAAGTCTGTTGTTTACAGGGTTCTATGAGTCGTATGCAACTCAACAGCATTGAACAACACCACAGATTGTTCATATTAGTGAGATTATGTAATATTAGAGCTTTTGTGGTGTTGTCTCTAGGGAGTTGTGATGATTTGAATCTGCCAGTGCCTCCTCAGGAGAAAGGTAGTCAATATCCTCTCATATGATTTACACCCTTGGAAACTTCCTGGAAGATCAGCTCTGTGTCAGTTTCATCTTGATAGCATTGAGTTGAGATACAGTATTTATCCTTTTGTGATTGAATTATTTCACTCACTGCAGTGATTTTAGGGTTGATCCATGTTCTATAATGTATATGGACTTCATTTCTTTCTTCATGTCTCACATACTTGGGGTGTGTTGCTGGGAGGGACCAGTCCTTGGAGAAGGATATCATGCTTGGAAGCATGGAAGGACAGGACAGTACAGAACATGAAGACCCTGGTTGAGATGGATTGACTCAGTAACTGAGCTAATGTGGGTAGGTGTGTCAGAGACAATGAGATTGTTTCATGATAGGGCACAGTTATTATACGATGGTCATTACAAAGCACATATGACTAGATGGTGCGTAACAAAAATAATACTGTAAAAAAACCCCAAACTTCTCTGCATATAAAATATAACCTAAAAATTACAGAAATTGGTAGAAAGCTTTGCATGAATCCTACCAGTCATCGCTTATTTGTATTTAATATGCAAAGAGGTAAGGTTGATTAAAAAATTACTTGAAGAAAAATAGAAGCATTGAAGCATGAAAAATGAACAGTAGTTTCATCCTTGAATACTTAAGGAGTTAATATTAAAAACAATGCAAAACAAGCTTTAACCTAACTGAATCACAAATATTTGAATTTAAAACAATCAGTACTTTTATTTGTTGTTGTTGTTTACCATAGAGTCAGAACCAACCCATAATTGACCCTTTGGTAGGTTTTCAGAGGCAGTTAGTTAATCACGTGGGAGGAGATTGCTCTTCCTTCTCTCATGGAGCTGCTGATGGCCTCGAACCGCCTACCTTCACGGTTGCAGCACAGTTTTTGCCACTAGGCCGCCTATATACTTATATAGTGAGCATTATACCAAAAGATGGCCCAATTGTTCCAGAAACTGGCTGACCCTAAGTATGTGGATCTTGAAGCCTTGAGTGATGGGAACTATGAGAACACTCAGCTGCAACTGATAGGTCAAATAGGAGTCCACTAAGCAGTACCTCTGAAAAATGCCTAGATATCTCCTTGTGAAGAATTAAGCCACTGAAAATCATGAGGAGTGTAGTTTGCTCTAACACATGTAGAACAATGTGGATGGGAGTAAACTGCACATCAATTGGTAGTTGGTATCCGGAGCCTTACCATGCATGTGTGAGGACATAGTCACACCAGTGATAGGAACCTTCCTTAAGGTGTTAATTAGAAATGCAAAGAAAGACTTATGAAGAAAAATACCATTATTAATACTAGTAAAAATGTAAGAAATTAACTTTTTACAGTTAGAAAATTCATAAGCAATTATGTATAGTACATTTCCATGATGGATCTTTATTCAATCTTTACAAAAGGATATTTATAAACATGAAAATGAAAATACCTTTGCCTTTTAAAAGAAATGTTTAGGTTAACAAATTCAGGCCTAGTTCTTAATGTTAGCCATGAAAGACACTGATACATGGAAGAAAAAGGTAAACAGCTTCTTTAGATATCCAAGAGTAATAGAATGGACAAAAGTCTTTGTGCCACAAAAACAGAAATCTAGAGTATACATCACTGTCTAGTGATACTAACCAAAACCAGAGTTAGGATAGAAATATATTTCATGTTTTCTGAGAGTTAATAATAGATATGAATGCTGGATTAAACCACAGTGCAATGTATTCACTTTTATGCAATAACTTCACCATAATAAAGCTTCCTATTGGTAAAATGACAAATTGCTACATTTGCTTAGTTATTTGTTTATATGTGAATGGGAGAATGTCTATAAAACTTATGAATGACATATTTACTTTCTGTTGATCTGTTTTTTAAAAAGAACTGTATTTACAATCCCAGTACCATTGGAAAAAAGAACAGATGTGGACTTTTGACAAGAGACAGGAAGCAAATGTTACTAATCATTTTTCCTTAGAATGTGATTGTGGGTGATTTTGGAATCTTCTGCATAGTTTTATAACTCTTCAAAAATTGTTAAATGGTATTTCTCTGTAATGTCTAACCATGTAATACCAGCCATTTAATAAGAACAGTATCAATGTGTTTAATAATACAATTTTCATTCTCTGCCTCATAATTAGGTCCATGCTGTTTAATTGTGGAGGAGATAAGTAAATTCCTATGGGCCCTGATGTGTTTCTCAGAAATTTCCTTCCTCTCAAGAGTGGAAACCTTAATCTAGAATGCAGACATATGAATTTAGTGCCAGGCCTTTAGTATGCATGATGGTTTTTACCACCTTGCTCATTAATGTCTTCTTGGTAAAAAGAGTTCTATTCTGATATTCTGATACTCTTTACTTGGCATATGAAGAAGAAAACAAAATTTACAAAATTTACTACAGTATTTCAGATCTTCTTTCTTCTTTTAGGAGACAAACAGGAGAATGGCAAAGAGAATGTAAACTTGGAAACCTATTGGGATCAGAAGCCTCCAGCTGCTCTTTGTTACATCTCAGGAGAGGCCTCTTCTCAGGATTCTTTGAATGGCTTCTTTGGTGAAAATGAACAAAGATGTTTTACAGAAGATTATCTCACTAAGGTACAGGGACACATCCAAAGTGAGGAAAGAAGGAAACAGCTGTCTTCTCAGGAAAAGGTTCCTGCTAAACAGGTCAACCAGGATTTGCCTGATTCTCACCCAAGATACCTAACTGCACTGTTGTTCAAGCAGAAGCAACAGACCCCCCAGAAGGACCAATTGAGACCTCCGATGACCCAGAAGCTTCTCACCTGCAGAGAGTGTGGGAAAACCTTCAGTAGAAATTATCAGCTTGTGGTTCACCAGAGAACTCATACTGGAAAGAAATATTTTCAGTGCCCCACCTGCAAGAAAGCCTTTCTATGGAGTTCAGATTTTGTGAAGCATCAGAGAATACACACCAGAGAGAAACCTTGCATATCTGATCATTGTGGGACAGGCTTCAGTGACTTTTCTGGATTACACCACCATGAGAAGATCCACATGGAAGAGAAATCGTATAAATGTCCCATCTGTGAAAAGATGTTTAGCAACAAGTGTGCCTTAAACAGACACCACAGTGTACACACAGGAAAGAAACCCTATAAATGTTCTCTTTGTGAAGAAAGTTTCAGCTACATGTCTACCTTAAATATTCATCAGCGGGTACATACAGGAGAGAAACCCTATAAATGTCCTCTCTGTGAAAAGAGCTTTACTCATATGGGCCACTTTAATAGACACCAGTGGGTCCACACAGAAGAGAAACCCTATAAATGTCCCATCTGTGAAAAGAGATTCATTGAGAGATCCAAATTTTATAGACATCTGCAAGTCCACAAAGGAGAAAACATGTAAATGTTCCCTCTGTGAAGAGCTTCAACTACAACAAGATAAAGGTAAACAACCCAGTTGTAAAATGGGCACAGGATATGAACAGACACTTCACCAAAGAAGACATTCAGATGGCCAACAAGCCCATGAAGAAATGTTCAAAATCCCTAGCTCCAAGAGAGATGCAAATAGAAACAACTATAAGATATCATCTTACCTCAGTAAGAATAGCAAAATTCAACAGAGCAGCAAATAACAAATGCTGGAGAGGTTGTGAAGAAACTGGAACTTTTACTTATTGTTGGTGGGAGTGTAAAATGGTGCAACCACTGTGAAAGGCGGTATGGCGCTTTCTCAAAAAGTTGGAAATAGAATTAACATTTGACCCAGCAATTCTACTACTGGGAATATACCTTAAAGAAATCAGAACTGCCACCCAAGCAGATATATGCACACCCATGTTTATTGCAGTTTTGTTCACAATAGCAAAGAGTTGGAAACAACCCAAGTGCCCATCAACAAATGAATGCATAGAGGAGCTCTGGTATATTCACATAATGGAATACTATGCTGCATTGAAAAACAAGGAACTCATGAAATATCATACAAAATGAGTGACCCTGGAGGACATTCTACTGAGTGAAATATCTCAGTCACAAAAGGACAAATATTGCATAGTGCCACTATTGTAAAATGCGACTGACATCGGGGATGGGGGTAACCTAAGAAAAGAGGGGATAAATAATATATGCTGCATTGAAACAGATAAGGGAGAGAACTGTTTAAAAGAAATATAGGGTTAGGTATTATTTTCATGACAAAATTACAGAAAAAAATTGCCTATTAAAGTGGACTGGGGGATTATATAACAATGAAAGAATATTTTTTTCTTCAAAGAGAAAAACGAACTGAGGAGGGGGAAGGCTAAGCAGGGAGGAAAATGTGCAACAATGAATGAATGGGGGGAAATTAAATTGGAAAGAATATGCTGTAAAAATATATATGTTGTATTAAAATATCATTAATAATAAAAGTATTTTTTTAAAAAAAGAGTTTCATTCAGAGGTATGATTTTAATAGACACCAGCAGACACACACAGGAGAGAAACCCTACAAATGTCCTCTCTGAGAAACATTTCATATCAATGAAATCAGGCTTTTTTAGACACCACTAGATCCACACAGGACAGAAAAGCTATATATGTCCCATCTGTAAAAAAAAAAAAGAATTTCAAGGGAGCTCTGGTGGCCTAGTGACAAGAAGTTGCACTGCAATCCCAGAGGTGTGCAGTTTGAATCTACCAGATGCTCTGCTGGAGGAGGAACAATCTCCTCCTGTACCAGTCAGATCCAATTTGACAGTACATATACCAAAAAAAAAAAATCTCATAAGTACATCTTTATTAGACATCAAAAGCCTGTATAATAGATAAACTCTAGGAATCTTCCTGCTATGGGAAAATTTTCAACAGGAGCTGAGGTTTTGACAGATATTAGGAATCTCATTTGAGGAGGAAGTCTTCTCCATAGCCAGACTCTCTTAGCCCTCATCTGTGTGTCTGCAGTGACAAATATTGAATGTTTGGAATAACCTCCATAATTTCATGTTGTATCTATTTCTATTTTCATGAATTGAAAAGGGAGAATCTATAGTTATTTTTGAGCTTGGAATTTAGATTGGGCTCTTGATGTGAACTTTGTGATTTATGTCTTCTGACAGAGCAACTGTAATTACCGTTCACAGGAATAACATCAGATTAGCCCTTTATCTCTAGGATTCCTGAGCATGTCTTGCTGACATAGAGCACAAGCAGATATAGAGGACTAGGGTGTTCATGTGTCCTCTTTGACATGTGGGTTGTTGTTATGTGCCATCGAGTCGTTTCCGACTCATAGCGACCCTATGCACAACAGCCCTAAACCCTGCTCTATCCTGCGCCAACCGCACCGCCTCTGACACACCCATCCCGATTACCCCAGTCACTGAATCAATCCATCTCATAGAGGGTCTTCCCCTCCTGCGTTGTCCCTCAACCCTCCCAAGCATGATGTCCCTCTCCAAGGACTATCAGACACACCTTAGTCTCCAGGGAGACACTGTTGCTCCTGAGCACTCTAGAGAGGTCCCTAACAGCAGACTTTCCCATCGCGATACGCTTTTTGATTTCCTGACTGCTGGTACCAAGAGTGTTGACTGTGGAGCCGAGCAAACTGAAGCTGTGAACAATCTCAATCTCTTCGTCATCCATCCTGACGCTGCCAATTGGTCCAGTGGTGAGAATCTTTGTCTTCTTGACATTGAGCCTCAGTCCATACTGAAGGCTGCAGTCCTTGACCCTTCGCAGCAAGTGCATGAGGTCCTCCTCAGTTTCAGCAAGCAGGGTTGTGTCATCTGCATAACGGAGATTGTTAATAGACCTTCCACCAATCCTGATGCCACAATTCTCCTCATAGAGCCCAGCCTCTCAGATAATCTGCTCTGCATACATGTTGAAAAGGTATGGAGACAGGATGCATCCCTGGCGTACATCCTTCCCAATTTTGAACCATGCAGTGTTACCCTGCTCTGTTCTGACTACTGCCTCTTGGTCCAAGTATAGGTTTCGTATTAGCACAATTAAATGTTCTGGGATTCCCATTCTTCTCAGAGTCAGCCACAGTTTGTTATGATCCACACAGTCAAATGCCTTTGCATAATCAATGAAACACAGATAGACATTCTTCTGATGTGGGTAGAATGTGAATTTGATGTGCCCTTCAAATAAATTCAGTAGATTCACTCTTCATCTCACTTGTGTCTGAAGTGTTAATTCACATTGAAAATGTGTTTTCTCACAGAAGACTCCAAATGAGAGTTGAGCTCCTTGGTGAGCTTGTAGTCAGATTCCTGCCTAAATGTGGTCACTAAGAAACCTTAAGTGTGGTAGACAGCCATTTCTGACTTCGATTAACTCCATAATGGGTAAGTGTCCCCATCAACAGTATCTGTTGTTGTTGTTATGTGCTGTCGAGTCGCTTGCGACTCATAGCAACCCTATGTACAAAAGCCCTAAACTCCGCTCTGTCCTGTGACAATCGCACTGTCTCTGACACTCCCATCCCAATTATCCCAGTCACTCAATCAATCCACCTCATAGAGGGCCTTCCTCTCCTGTGCTGTCCCTCCACCCTCCCAAGCATGATGTCCCTCTCCAAGGACTATCAGACACACCTTAGTCTCCAGGGAGACACCATTGCTCTTCAGTATTTTGGAGAGGTCCCTAACAGCAGACTTTCCCATGGCAATGCGCCTTTTAATTTCCTGGCTGCTGGTGTCAAGACTCTTGACTACAGAGCCAAGTAAACTAAAGCTGTGTACAATCTCAATCTCTTCATCATCCATCCTGATGCTGCCAATTGGTCCAGTGGTGAGAATCTTTGTCTTCTTGACATTGAGCCTCAATCCATATTGTAGGCTGCAGTCCTTGACACTCTGCAGCAGGCACTTCAGGTCCTCTTCAGTTTCAGCAAGCAGGGTTGTGTTATCCGCATAACGCAGGTTTGTTGATAAATCGTCAACCAATCTTGACCCCACATTTCTCCTCATAGAGCCCAGCCTCCTGGATAATCTGTTCTGCATATAGGTTGAAAAGGTATGGAGATAGGATGCATCTCTGGCATACGCCCTTCCCAATTTTGAACCATGCTGTGTTCCCTTGCTCTGTTCTGATGCCTGCCTCCTGGTCCAAGTATAAGTTTCACATTAGAACGATCAAGTGTTCTGGATCATAAAAACATTTCCCAAGAGACTCAACATATTCCCCCATTCTCCTATACCTGCTTCTAATTCCAACACCAGGCTTCCTGTTCTCTAGGGTGTGAATCCATTGCAAAAGCTACCCACAGAACCACATTCACCATTATGGGGATTATTAGGAAAGTTAGTATGTTGCTGCTGTGAGAAATATTTCAGCAAGAGCTCAAATTTTGATGGACAGGAAAGATCCCATCTTTTAACCCTTGTCTGTGTGTCAGTCCAGTGACAAATGTTGAACTTTTGAAATCCTATGCAGAAGGATTCTTTATCCGTGTATTTTAATCTGTTAAAATCTGTTCTTTATCTGTGTATTTTAATAGATTGAAAAGGGAGAACCTACAATTGTTTTCGAACTTGGAAGTTAGATTGGAGATTGGGTCCTTGGAATGAGTTTCATGTCTTCTAACAGCAGCTATAATTATTAACAGGAATGACATCAGCTCAGCCCTTTATTACTAGGATTCCAGAGCATGTCTTTCTGATGCAGTGTAAGCAAATATAGAGGACTGGAGAGCTCAGTGTGTTCTTTGATATCTTAGTACAATGTGAACTTGATGTGCCCTTTCTTCAAGTAAACTCAGTAGACTCCTCATCTTATTTTTGTCTAAAATGTTCAGTCCCTATTGATTCACTTTTGAAAGCATGTAATCCTCCATCTTTCCAAGCTTGATACTCTTATCTCAAGAAATAACCTCTGGGCTGCGCCCGTGGATGCCCCCAATCGGCGCCTGCTTGCCGCCCTCCCCTCCCCCAGCAGTGATGCGTCCACGTCTGCGCTGATCCCTCCGCCAGGCCCCCTCAGAACAACCACCCGGTGCCAGCCCAGCCCAGCCCGAAAGCCTCAATTGTAACCAAAAAGCATTTTGTCAAGGAGCTTGGACAATGCAGATCTTTGTGAAGACTTTGACTGGCAAGACCATCGCCCTCAAGGTCGAGCCCAGTAACACCATTGAAAATGCCAAGGCGAAGATCCAAGACAAGGAAGGCATCCCCCCTGACCAGCAGAGGCTGATCTTTGCTGGGAAGCAGCTGGAAGATGGGCGCACCCTGTCTGACTACAACATCCAGAAAGAGTCCACCCTGCACCTGGTGCTTCACCTGAGAGGGGGCATGCAGATCTTTGTCAAGACCCTGACTGGTAAGACCATCACCCTTGAGGTCGAGCCCAGCGACACCATTGAGAATGTCAAGGCAAAGATCCAAGACAAGGAAGGCATCCCCCCTGACC